TTTTTTTTTTTTTTTTTTTGCAGAACAGTATAAAACCTTATCCTGAAATTCATTTTTTGAACAGACTCTTACACAGAAAGAATACTGAGACTACCAGCCGTTACAGGTTTAGAGAGTGTGTGCCTCACTAAACCCGTTTTGCCTTATGAATTAAAGATTGAGCAAACAGCATTTGCTAAAAAAATTCGCAAGCTTAGGCGTTTTGAGCGAGTATAACGAGAGCAAATTAAATGAAAAGACTGGCGTATGCATTTGATTTTGCGCCACTTTAACATCATGCAACATTTACTCTACATTGAACGTACTGACAAAACCAGATTGCTTAGCCATACTTAACCTGCAGACTTTTTCTTCACCTCTTTTTTATTTATGGTCGCCATTTCTTAGAAAACCTGAATACAGCCAAATCTTCACTCGTTAACAAAAAAAGGTTGTTAGCAGCTATTTCCTATTTACACTTTACGTAAGACTCTAAATGGCTATATACTGATTTCTGCTTCGTAATGCTCTATGTTGGAAATTAGTTTTACATTTTGGTTTAGAGCCCACTTACCTGCATCTTGGCCTAAGCTTTTGTAGAAGCAATGCACACTGAAATAACAAAAAACGATGAATTTAAAGGCTAAAAATTAAAAATTTCAGCAGATTTCTTTTATTTCAGAATGAAAGAAGAGTCAAACTTTTCTATTGTTGGCGTGAGTATATCCCGTTGAGAGACTAGGAATGTCACTTAGAAAAAAACCCTTGATCTTGAAATCAAAAATTTTAATCTGCAAAAAATTGAAAGACTTGAATACTGAGTTTGAAAAGCACGTAACATGCTAGTGACATGTAAAGATTCAATGGTTATAATTCTCGCGTCGACGTTAACGCGTACGAAGGTGAGAAAAGCAAAAAATTTGCCAGCTCAACCACTCTGAAGTAAATTGTAAACAGTATCAACTAAAAGACAGTCAAGACGTTATCAGCGTTAATCGTAGTTTAAATGCGAGTTGAGACTTTACCATTCGAGCCACATTCCTCGCCACGTTGATTGGATATATATATAGATCTGACGGAATTTTAAGTGGCTCTGTACCCACTGGATCGGCACAGCTTGTATCCAACTTGTAGACGAATTGTGCAGAAACTTTAGAACCTAACTCAGTGTAGTAGCTTATTAACTGAAAATGTTTCTGTAGAATGACCAATTAAAAATGAGTTCTTACAGCCTAATTTTTTATGCGCAAAAATCATATCTCTGTTAAGTAAGGTGTAGTGCACAGAACTTCTAATTTTCTTTAGTACATGCTAAAATGACAATGTGAGAGAAAGATTAGAAAGCTAAACCTGAAAAAGACGAAGATCTCGACGAGTTTCTTTGGCCACACAGCAGAGAAGTCAGCGCGTATTTCTAATCATTATCAGCAACTCAGAAATACTGTATATAATATCCATATACTGTGTCAAAAATACAATCTGATAATTGGCTGCTGCTCGCAGCCAATCAGCGTGACGAGGCTACCGAACTAAACCAGTGCCAAATATTGTATATGATATCCATATACTGAATCAAAAACACAATCTAGTGATTGGCTACTGCTCGCAGCCAATCAGCGCGATGAGACCAACAGACTAAACCAGTGACAGTTAATGTCTCAAAACGCTCTACAAATGAAAGCCGTTTTTTCTCTTTGTTTTTCTTCCTTTTACTTTTAAAGTCGTTTTGTCTTCAACCTCCAATTTTGTCATTTTTATAGGATATTCTTTGCAAAAATCTATTCCTAAAAAGTTTAAAATGCCGTATTTTTAGATAAAATGTTCGGAAATTTCGTTTCCGCTCCAATTTTCGACACATCAAGTGGTCGTCATCATTCCGTTCCTCTTTTACCACTACCAAAATAAACGTGCCGACTACACTGATAAGGTTCGACTGTTATATTGAGTAAAAAGTGTACTTTTATAATTTCTTGATACAATTCAACTCTGGAAGTATTGCGCTTTTTGAGCTTAAGTTATTTTCTTCTCAGTCGAGGCTTTAGCCGTATACGGCATCAAAATTCCAAAATGCTTCTGTAGTGTCGGTTGAAAAAA